GAGGCGTCTAAGTCACACGAGGGGACTCGGGGTTAAGCGAAAGCTCGCTGGTGTCCTCAGAAAAAGGGGGAAATGCTGAGCTAAACACCACCAGGAACCTAGTGGTGAAGTCGAATGGAACGAAATGACGCCGAGACTATATCGGGTGTTGCAACGTGAGCTACAATGACCCGAATCCAGGTTTTAGATCGTAAAAGACCTCAACGGTTCCAGTAGTACGGATGGACCAACCGGTCGTTTTCTCTCAAACCCTCCAAACCGGCAATCCAGTGGAGAGAAAAGACAAAAATAAAAGATGGCGTCAAGTTAAAATGCAATCTTTACCTGACTTTGAACTGGATCCAGTCCAAACAATCCAGATTATCTCTAAACAGCAACTCTTTATCTTCACAGACAAAGCCGAACTGGTTTGAGGTCGTACCGGTTTTAGGACGTAAAAGACCTCAACGGTTCCGTTAGTACGGATGGACCAACCGGTCGTTTTCTCTCAAACCCTCCAAACCGACAGTAAAATGCAATCTTTACCTGACTTTGAACTGGATCCAGTCCGAACCAGAGGTCTTGCCCCAGATTATCTCTAAACAGCAACTCTTTATCTACACAGACAAAGCCGAACTGGTTCGAGGTCTTAAAAGACCTCAACGGTTCCAGTAGTTTGGATGGACCAACCGGTGGTTTTCTCTCAAACCCTCCAAACCGGCAGTCCAGTGGAGAGACAGAAATAAAAGATGGCCTCAATTTAAAATGCAATCTTTACCTGACTTTGAACTGGAAACAGTCAGAACTAGAGGTCTTCCCCCAGATTATCTCTAAACAGAAACTCTTTATCTACACAGACAAAGCCAGTCCTCAGGTAACACCTGACGGCTTCTCCGGGATATCCAACAAAAAAAAGGGTTTAGAAAAGAAACTCCACGTTCAATGATTGTGACTTAGTGCTTTGGTTGCTGGTGCTTTAGGGCCATTGAATGAAAAGCCGCTTGTCTAAAAAGGCTTCCTGTGTATCTTTGTGAAAGTGTTTTTCTTCTATTATCTGAAATCATAAGTGTATTGAACATTTGGCCCCTCTAACTGCCTTTTTGTCCACAAGCAAACAGCAAATTTAGGTCACTTTGAACCAATTTGCTTGTAAATAGATAGAAAAACTCTGTAGTGATGATCTCAATCTCTCTTAAAGCCGTAGAAACTCCCATGAACGGTCTTTGTGGGTTCCTGCTTTTTAACGGTATCTGTGTAACATATCCGGTTTGATGTGGCTAAACTCTAAATGAGGCCATATTTCACAAAATGGACATAACGCTGGATCAAGCAGACTTGAAGCCAGAACATAAAGTCCTTCAGCAGTTCAGTGAGGTCACAAATCCAATGGAGAAACCGTCTTCCTGGGGGTCTGTTTATTATTTATTACCACGGTTGTGAACCTGTTTGGTTGTTAGGCGAAATAAAGGATTGGTTGGGACTTCTCAAATTTAGCATACAGGAAGTTTGATCTTTATATTAGAAATAATCACAATCAGAATCAGAAATACTTTAATAATTCCAGAGGGAAATGAATTTTGTTACTGGCTCCATAAATCAAAAGCAATGGCATATACATATATACATGTCTGTACATATATACCTATATATATATATTTAAAAAATCCTTATATAATATAGATAGATATATGCATAAAAAACTATATGTATATATATAGGTCAAAATAAGTGATGGATAATGTCAATGATT